ACAATCACTTACCATCCTTGGCTTATCTTTGAGGGGAGGGAGGCAGTTCTCTCCAGAGTTCCCTGTGAACACATGCAGCTGCACACAGACCACTGCAAGCTTAACACAGGGCCTTGGGTAAATGCACACACAACATGGAGTCTTTCTCCCTCCAAGTCCAGGGCCTGCCACAGATGTCCACGTGGCCCACTGCAGAGACAGGTGTGTCAGCTCATTCACTCCACTACTTCACACTTTAGTTCCTGGAGATTCTGTCCTAGGCATTTTTTTCAGTGTCTCCTGCTGCTTCCACTCTGAGCCATGCCTCCAGCCTTGGTCCTTTACCAACGCTCTCCACCTGTGACAGATTTCATCTGCCCACTTCCAGGCTGTGAATTCTTCTCCTGTTCTGCCCTGTTTGTGAGCATGAAGTCGTTTCCAGAACCCTGGCACTCTAGTGCCCCCATCTTCCTAGCCTTTCCACCTTGAGCTGCTCCCTACCTAGAATCCCATGTTTTGAATGTAGGCGAGGCTGGCAGCGTTTCCTAGGTGAATGCTGCTTTACCAAGCCTTTCTGGCTAACTCTACCCCCCTCTAGTCTCAGAGCAACCATGTCTCCTCCAGGCAGCCTCTCTCTCCTAGGAAGTCACAGGGCGAAGCCTCCAATTGCTGGATAGTGGCGCCCCCTTGTGTCCTCATCTGTCACAAACTTTCCTGACCATTGTTTTCTATTATGAACTGTTTCAGGAGATGTAGACCACGGTTAGTGTTTCTTTTATTTGTTTGTGGAGAAGATGAAAAAGAGAAGGAATTAGTGAACCAGTGGAAGTATTTTTATTTATTCTTATATTCATGAAAGATAACTACCTAAGGTATAATTTTTGAAAAACTTAACTAAGTAAAAAACAAGAACAAAGTCCTTCCTCCATTATGGGACTTTATAAATATAAATCCGATGAAATGAAAGTATATCAGTGTTTGACAGCTCTTAAAGGACATCCCTGAGTCTGAGTCTGCCTATCTACAAGGTCTGTGTCCTCTGAACATTTCCTGCCCTATGTTTCCTCATCTATCTGATGACAATGAGAAACACCCTGCCCACCAACACACACACACACACACACACACACACACACACACACACACACACACACACGACTCACTAGGTGTCTGTGACAGTCAGTAATCAAGCCCAAGAGAAGTGTTTAGTGTTTAGTACAGTGGCTGACCCACAAGGAGCTGAGGGAGGGGCACAAGAGGCCCAGCTCCTCACTGAGGAGCTACTAGAAATCAATGTGTGCTGAAAGAGGAGAGTCGTTTTTCTTCTGGTGTGTGTGTGTGTGTGTGTGTGTGGTCTTTTGCACTACATTTATTCATTCATTCATCCAAATACAGAATTATGAGATTTTCACACCCTCTATGATGGGATGAACGCTCAGTGAACATGGGAGTGTGGACATCCCTTTGCAAAAGCAAAGGGGATTTAATTTTCTTTGGTTTTCTATTTGGGAATTTGACAGCTGTGTCTCTTGGCATTTCTACTCTTGCATGGGAACTCTCCATTATGGTTTCTGTAATGACTACACCAATTTGTATCCCCACCAAAGGGGTAGAAAGCTTCTTTTCATCTCATACTCACCAGCATCCATTATCCTTGGACTTCTGCTGCTTTCCTGGCGGGTGTAATGTGTACTGCTTTCCTTAGGTAGCACGTTCCACATTGCACCTTAAGGGATCACAGAACTAAGATGCTGAAGATGGAAGCATCCTGTTCCAGAAGACTTGCTATTACTTGCTTTATTTTCATTTCTTCTTTTTAAAAGATTTATTTTACTTTCAGTTATGTGTCCATTTGTGCCTCACTGTGAGGGTACATGCACCGTGACTATAGATCTCTGCAGAGGCTAGAAGAGGGTCAGGATTCCTGGAGCTGGAGTTTCAGGCACTTGTAAGCTGTCCCAGGTTGGGGATAGCAGCCCAATTCGAGTCCTCTCCAAGAGCAGCACAAGCTCTTAACCACTTTCATGTCACTCACTTTAAAGGAGAGGAAGCCACTTCCAGGGCAGTGGCTTCACTGGAACAGGAGGAGGAGAAGGAAGAAGGATGAGAGCAGCCACTCACACAGGCAGTTGTGTGACCTCCATATAAGCGACCTGTCATCTCCAAATCAGCTGGCATCTATAGAGCACCTGTACCACTCACCAGGCCAGGTCCACAACACTGCCTTGGTTCGTCTAATCCTTGGGAATAATATGACTCTGCAGCACAGCTAGACGTCTTATTCAACAGACCATCAACATGGGCTCTTTCTGCTCCACACATGGGATTCCTTAAACAAGCCACTCAGCTGATGGGCATGATGTGGAGGCCTATAGTCCGTACCTCTTAGAGAACTGAACGGAAAGGATATCTTCAGCAAAGCATACATGACCAGCCCAGGCAGTGGAGTGAGATTCTGTCTCAAAACACAGATAAATAAAAGTAAAGTCAAACAGGACTATGACTGATGAAGTCTGGGACAGAAGGCAAAGCTTTAATCAGGGTCCATCCAAGACCCAGTAGTAAGTAATTCTGAGAATGAAACACAAATGCACTCTATAAAGTTACTTTGAGATTTTTTTTTTTTTTTGAGGAACAGAAGAAGACATTGAATGTGATTTATCATAAGGATTTGGGGTTTAAAAAAAAAGGAGTATGAAGAATTCAATGTCAAATGTAAGACTGGCATCACATCACCATCTGTGGTTATTAGTCCATGATGGGTTGTAGAAGACAGTATCGCGGGTAAAAGGAAATCAGTACATTACTCTGCATTTTAAACACACATTTGAAATGCTTCGTTTTCTCTTCTTGATGACAAAAGTTATGCTAGGACTTGATGACACTGAAGACTCCTGATGTGTTGGCTACAATTATGTGACAATTTTATGTTATATTCTAGTGTCATCCTCCTAATGCTTTTCAAAATTCAAGTGTGAATGAGGTACATGTGCTGAAATAGAAGCTTAAATAATTTAGGCAACATTTCATAGGGTAAAGAAATATTGAAGATTTTTTTCTCTTTGCCTTCATTAAATTTTCACATAAATTATTTGAAGCTCTACGCTTCTTCTCAGTGAGTTCATCAGTGGAAGAGAATAAAAAGCCATACAATACATACATGCAAATAGCACTAATACGTAGACCGTGTGCCTGGGTATGTGTGCATAACAAAGGATATTATTCCTTCTTTTTTCATCACCCCTGTTTTCACTAAGTAAACCATAAAATTCTCCTTTTTAAGAAGTTTCCAGAATTATAAACATATAAAATATGTATTTTGTAATGAGCACATAATAGTTGTATATAGTAATATTTACAGGGTAAAGTGGGACATTTATTGTTTTATTTTATTTTGAGACAGAGTCTTATATAGCCCCAGTTAGCCTTGAAATTGATATTTATCCAAGGATGACCTTAAACTTCTGATCCTTTTACCTCCATTTCTCAAGTCCTGGGAACTCGTGCTTGTTACACACCCAGTTTATGTGGTGCTGGGAATCAAACCCAGAGCTAAGCAAGCACTGTGCTGACTGAGCTGTAGCTGAGCGGGAAGTATGATACTTGAAATGATTCCAGGAACTAGAATAGCTGTCCACAATCATTCTAGCCTGCTGGAGAACATTAGAGATCATCCTCACTGCCTAACTGTACTTTGTCCCTTCACCCAAACTATCTCCATTCCTTTCTCCTCACCACTCTTCCTATGCTCTATCAATCATTATTTTATTTTCTACGTCTGGGACACCAGTTTTTCAGCATCCACACATGAATGCCCTCTTATAACAGGAATGAAGAAGAGTGACACACATATGTCTATGTTTCACTTATTTCGTACAACACAATATATTTCAATATTATCCTTGTTGCTACAAATAATAGAATTTGTTCCCTTTGGTAAGTGAATAATGTCGTTATTCATTCGTTGCATGCATTGTGCTCATGCGTGTGTGTGCACACACACACACACATGCACACCCACCTCACATTTTCTTTATCTACTCATCCATGGTTAGAAACCAAGGTTACCTCACATCTTGACTCATGTGAATAGTGCTACAAAACATGCAGAATCATATATCTCTGACAAACAGAGGGAATGTTCGCAGTCTGTCTCTGATGGGGTGCAATCCTGTTTCTATCCACAAATATGTGGAGGAAAAATTGAAGAAAATGTAAACATCAGGTGTCTTCGTGACTTTTTTCATCTTACTCAGATATTCGTTAACAGATTTTTTTCTCTAAATCATTATACTTAAAAGTTCTGTTTTATTGAATGTGTGATTTCACTTCTCTTTGCCACCATCTCCATTGTCAAATGGAGAGGAGTACAGCACCCACTTCATGGAGCTGTGGATAGGGATAAATGGAATAAAGCTTGTCAAATGCCTGAGAAATCTCCAGTGGCTCTGAAACACTAACATTAGCCTTAAGGCTATCATTGAGTATTAATCATGGCTGTGTCTCTACCTAATATATTTGATTCCATGCACCACTAAGAGGAGATGGCACTTTGCATAGATTGACTTGCTTGATATCTGTTGACAATTTTAATCCAGTTTTTTTCTTCCAAGTTTCTATATTAGAAATGAAATGTAATTATCCAAGTCACAATCTACTGGGTGACTTTGGAGTTAATAGAAGAAAACACAAAATGTCTATGTACTTGTGCACAGTGTCTGACAAACAAATACAGCGTCCGACGTTTTTGTTTTGTTTTCTCCCAGTGCAGAACATCATGGTCAGCCCTTGTATCTGAGTCTTGAATCAGTAGCAAATCACAGAAACATAGACAGAATATAGCAAATGTCTCTTTCTGGTCTCCAGGCAACATAACTACAGTAGCGTGAAGGATTGGCTGGTGACTCTCCCTACTCTGTACCAGATGAAGACATACAGACAAAGGATGTTTCTTAGACCTTTAACCCACATATATATATGACCTGCTGCTGTGGGGCAGGAAACCCCAAAACTGCTCAGAACTGGAGCAGATCATGACCAACCCTGGGGGATCCGTGGACCCTGCATTTCTCTGAGACACTAGGACAGTCCCACCTTCCTGCTTGTGACCTGAGACACCCACTCACAGACTACATCCTGCCTCCTTGTGAAGCAGCCTGACAGTCAAGATGCTGCTCCTCAGTGGATTCACTTTCTCCTGCCTCTGGGCTTGTAAGTAGACATTTCCATGTGCAAGAGGCAACGAAGTCAGCCTCATTTCCATTTCTTCAAATGTCTTTCTGTTATTGTTGTTGTTCATGAGAATTTTCTCTTGCAGTTGGGCTTGGGCAGTTGGAGCCAATCGAAATATCGGTCACCAGAGCAGTAAGCCAGAGTGCCCAAATATCCTGTAAAGTTTCTCTTGAAGGCTTTGACAAAGTAGATATACATTGGTACCGGCAGAAGACAAATCAGCCATTTGAGTATCTAATATATGTCAGGAATGATAATACTCATCGCCCTTTAGAAGGGATCAGCAAGAAAATTGAAGCAAAGAAAGACTTGCGAACTTCTACTGCAACCTTGATCATAAATTCCTTGAAGAAAGAAGATGAAGCCATCTACTACTGTGCACTCTGGGTTGAGCACAACATTAAAGCTTCTAGAACAGCCTGCATAAGAACCATCTCCCATCTGTGCCAACCCACATCCTTCTCAGCAGGCACAGCTACTTGCTGCTCAGCTGAGGGGCCACTGAGCCTTTCCCCACCACAGAGCTCTTGGAGCTGCCAGGCCACATCTCGGGTTCTATTTCCCCAGTGAGGTCCTGTGGACTATAGTCTGAAGGCAGGATGGCCCCACACTATTTCCTACTCAGGTAGGGTGTCTGAGAGATATTCAAATATAGGATGGAGAGCTTGCAACCTGACCTTATCTTTTGTTAATTCACTGCACAAAGGTTTGCAGTAAATAAATGGCTTAGAATAAGTCAGGAGAGGTCAAAATGTGACGAGAGATGTGTACCCCACAGGGATATTTCCTGATATAGTTTCCTAGTTCCTTCACAAGCACTGGAGATTTTCAGAGATTGGGAGACCTGTCATTAATTACAATTTATAGTTTATACCAAAGAAAGTTACTGGCCATTACACCTCTAAGTAAATAATCAGCTCACTGGGGGATATTAGAGGCCAAAGTACAATTCTTGGGAGATGGCTCAATGTGACAAAGCTTGGTCTACACCCTTGGATTCATGGCTGAGTCAAAGAAAGCTCTGTTCCTGTACTTAAGTGATTTGCTAAGAAAATAATGAAAAAAGGGCAAGAGCAACAAGAAATGCAGTAGGTCACAGAGCAAAATAAAAAACAAAACAAAACCAAAGTAGGTATTTGTTCCACCTATGGCCTTGGGGTACCAGCCCCTAGGCCACAGCCTCTTAGCTAGCTTAAGACCTGAGGAGCATGTACACAGGCCCCTTCTTCTCTCTATTGAGTTCTTGGGTGGTGGAGACTGATTCAGGCAGCATGAAACACAGTGGAACCTGTTCTCAGCCTTCCAGGGACTTTGCAACTGAAATTGCCATATCCCTTATCAGTGAGTTGATACCCCATATAACCCCTTAATAAATAGATTCATTATTGGTATCCATGGATTTTAACTCCTGCGTTATCTCCTGTAAACATGAAAAACAGAACCTTGCCCCGACCTTTGTTTGGTGAGTTTTCCTTACAACTTGTAGAATTGTTACATCAGTAGATGAGCTATCACTTCTCCTCACCAAGGGGTTTCTCTTGTTCAAACAGAATTTTTATTAATTTTGATGATATCTGTAGCTTTTCTTCTCCTGCAGAAACAAAAGCAAAACCCCTTCCCCAATGTAGCACATATCCTGGTTTCCATTCTGAGGTCAACACATCTTTGAAGTAGACAGGTTGATTTAACATGTGGATGAGATGGAAGATGAGGAAGAGTCAGATGGTGAAGTACTAGCTGGGTAAGAATAAGATAAAAAGGGCCTAGATGAGGCAGAATTAAAATGAGAGAATTAAGATAGAACTTAGAGAGAGCAGTAGATAGATATAGAGAGAAATCAGGCAAGAAAGGAACTAAAAATGAGAGTAGACTAGAAGCTTGTAGAGAGAGAATTGACACAGAATAATAAAATATATGGACTAAGGAGTTTCGTGCACATAGATTCATTTCTTTTCATCGAATATTAATTACCAGCTGGTTGTAGATTCTTCCCGGACCCTGCCTCAGAGGGGACTATCGAGGGGCTGGACCCCCATAGTCGTTGATAATGACCCACCTACCTAATATTTTCACCAAAGTATTTGAAAAGTGCCTTGATTTATGACTTTCTTTTTTTCCCATTACCACAATAACTTCATTAAACTGTTACATATTGGAACACAGCATTTGTGATACTCTCAATCCATGTTCCTGAGCAATGATCATTTATATTACCCTCTGAAATCATTTGTCTCTTATTCCCACTGAAGTGAGAGCTATGTTTTACAAAGATATTTCAAAGAATTACTGGGGAAAATCCTGATTTCAAAAAGTATACTTCGGTAGGTGCTGTGCTAGTCATGATATTTAGAAGGCCAAGCAAGAAGAGCATGGCACTGCGGGGCAGCAACATAGTGAGACACCAGTTCAGAGGAGTGGAGGGGCAGGGCTGGAGAGTGCAAAGCAGAGGAAAGTTTTTTGATATCACTGATGTAATCAGTATTAATAATAGAGGCATTTATAATGTGGGCTTCTCCATAGTTTTAGTAAATTTTCTTCTATGATTTTATTTAAGACATTTCTGCATCTCTGGCCTGGAATTCTCCTCCATCTTCTATATATATTATATCTAGGCTTGTTCTTTTCTGCATGTCCCGAAGGCCTCACATGTTGGGTTCGTATGGCTAAGATTTAGTATTTTTTTAAAAGATTTATTGTTTTCTTTGACTTAATGATTCACTTCTTCTACCTTGCCTTCAAGCCCTGATATTCTGTTCTCCACATGATCATGATATTGCTGAGACTTTCCATTTAGCTTTTTAATTTGGCTTATTGAATTTTTCACTTCCAGCATTATTTCTGCTTGAATTTTCTTTCCCTAATTCTCTCACTTTGTTCAATTCTGTTTTCAGATTCTTAGTTGTTTTCATTATTTAATCTGACTGTTTGTTTCTATTCTCTTAGAATTCTTCCAGGAGTTCCTTTCTCTCTCTCTCTCTCTCTCTCTCTCTCTCTCTCTCTCTCTCTCTCTCTCTCTTTCTTTCTTTCTTTGATTGTTCTCTATGTAGCTCTTGGAACTTGCTTTGTAGACCAGTCTGGCTTTGAACTCACAGAGATCTACCTGCCTCTGCCTCCCGAGTGCTGAGATTAAACACCATGGCCTGCTTATGAGTTTAATCTTATCCTCTTTGAGTCCATCTGGGAGTTACTTCATGTTCTCTTTGAATTCTCAGATACATATTTATGAATTTAAAATCATTTTTCTGGGGTTTTGTCTAAATTGCTCTCACTGAGGACTGAATGGTAATTTTGGAGGAGAGGCAGTCTTGGCTTTTCATGCCACTCCTATTTTAAGATTGAGCTTGAACCCTTGGAGGTAATTTGCTGGTTCAGTTTTTGGTGTGAGTTTCTGGCCTGCCTTCACTGAGTAGGTGTTTGGATCAATGCTTGCTGTTCCCTTGGTTTAGCTGGTTTTCTTCAGCTGGATGCTGCTTGAGGTTCAGGAATGGCGCACTCCATTCTGATTCATGAGTGAGGAAGCTGTCCTGACCCCAGCACCGTGGGGAGGTGCACTACCTCTGATCTCACCAGTTGGTGTTCTGCTTGAGTTGGCATAGAAGTAACGGGGTGCCATGGTTGTCAGAGATGTTGTCCTTAGGACCTGGGGAGGAGGCAGTGTGTAGCCGGAGGTTTTCTCAGGTCCCTTCTGGCTCCATGGTCCCTCAGCCATTTATGAAATAATCATTCAGTGGCTTGATATTAATTACCAATTGTATGGCCGATGGCAGACGTCTTGCTAGCTAGCTCTTATAACTTAACCCATTTCTATTAATCTATAAGTTGCCATGTGGTTGTGGCATTACCAGTCTGCTGGTATCTTGCTTCTCCTGTGACAGCTAGAGTCTTCCCTCCTCTGCCTTTCTTTTTCCTGTCTCTCGGCTTGGATTTCCCACCTGGCTGTAAGCTTTCTTGCCATAGGCCAAAACTGCTTTATTTATTATCCAATCACAGCACACAGAAGACATCCCACAGCAGCAGTGTCCTGTGGCAGTGGGGGTTGGGCTACCAGAGGTGGGTGGTGTGGTCTCCTACCTGAGGAATGGGCAGGTATTCTGGAGGGTTCTGTACATGATGGTGGAGTTTGGGATGGCAGGAGTTGGCTAAGGTATGTTCAATTTAATTTTATCTTTCTCTATTTCTCAATGCTTAGTAAATGAATCTTTGTTACATGCACATTCCCTGGCATTGTCTGTGTGGCTTTGGTTAAATTATACATCTTTGACTAATTTTCCTAATTTGCAATGGAGGACATTAATATTAACCTTAATGAACTATTGAAAGGTCTCATCAAATTATACACATAAAGTTTTTTGTAATGTCTGTACTAATCTATCATTCAACAATTGAAACATTAGACTGATGTCCTGAGTTATTAGCACATATTACTGTACGTAATTTTTTAGAAAACTAAATATATAGAGCTGACTAAAATGTGCAGGTTTGGGGCTGGAGAGATGGCTCAAAGGTTAAGAGCACCAACTGCTCTTCCAGAGGTCCTGTGTTCAATTCCCAGCAACTACATGGTGGCTCACAACCATCTGTAATGAGATCTGGCACCCTCCTCTGTATACATAATAAATAAATAAATCTTTAAAAAATGCGCAGGTTTGTTTTTGATGCATTTTAAAATGGTACAAAAACATATTATGTCATCTTTAAGTTGGCCATTTAATGGAAAAACTTAATAGCAAAACAAAGTCTGAAGCAAGTTTCTTTGACTGGGTGGTCATAAGCCTAAAGTTTGGACAGAATTAAATTCTCCCTGCAGTCTATCACCAAATATTCCAGGTGAAGTGTAGTGTGAGCATCAATGTTAGTAGGAAAGTTTTGCCCAAGAGAAATGTCAAATGTAGACCTCAGGGACTATTTAACTTCTATCTATCTCTTAACTGTCATTTAGCTATCTATCCAGTATCCAATGTCTATATATTTATTTGTCATCTATTATCTACCACCTACCTATCATCAGTCATTTACCTATCTATCATCTATCTATCTATCTATCTATCTATCTATCTATCTATCTATCTATCTATCTATCTATCTATCCATCCATCCATATATATATCTACTGTTCATAATCTATATATCTATCATTTACCATTTACCTATATGTTTCTATTATCTAACATCTACTTTGGTATCATTTCAATCACCCCCAACATCTCCTTTCTACCTCTCTCTCTCTCTCCATCCCTACCTCTCTCCTATCTTCATTCCCTCCTCCTTCTCTCTAGCTCTATAACTTTCTCAAATTTAAGCACGAAATAACTTTACAAATGAGAGACATACAAAGGTGGCTGCACTTGTATTTCAGTCTCAGTGCCTCTTCCTACCTCTCTTATGATCAGAGCTGAGCCAAGCTTCTTTTAGCAAATGTTTTGATTAGCTTTAATTCTCAACTTGGCACAAGTCAGAATCACCTGGAGAGTCTGAATGAAGAATTGCATATATGTATATACATACATACAGCCTACTTGTTTTTCTCATAGAAGTCTCCAACTAGTTAAGGACCAGAAGCCAGAAGTCATTAAAAGACATCAACATTTCTGGATGATAAACTGATGTGAACTCAATGCATAAACTATTATTTTCTTCCAAAATGCCAATTGGGGCCTGGAGAGATGACTTAGCAGCAGTACTTTCTGTTCTAGCAGAGGTCCCAAGTTTGTCTCCCAGCACCCACACAAAGGCTCACAAGTGCCTGAAACTGCAGTTCCAGGGGACTCCTGCCCTCTTCCGGTTTCTGTTGGCACTTAGCATTCACGTGCTATACATAACATATATGCAGGCAAAATATATACATAAAACTAAATCTTTAAACATTTACATTTAAAACCACATTCAGGACATAATTTTCTTCTACAGTCCTGTCCTCTCATTTGGGTTGGTGGCTGTGGGTGGGCTTTTGATGGGCAATTGTAGATATAACTAACCATTTTATTAAAAAAGAAACACAGAGCCAATACAGAGATGAAAGCCAAGAGGTCAGAGCAATAGCTAAGAGCTAAAAACCTTACCCTTCACTGTCACTGTTGTCCTACCTCTCCGAAAGAGACCTACTTCCTGTGTGTCTGTCTTTTTATAGTGTTTCTGTTCTGCCTTCTCATTGCTTTTAAACCCAACCACATGACCTCCTAGTCACTGCCTGTCTGTACAGACCTCCAGGTCTTCTATGGTTGGTATTGAGATTAAAGGTGTGTGTCTCCATGCTGGCTGTATCCTTGAACACACAGAGATCCACTTAGCTCTGCCTCCCAAGAGCTGGGATTAAAGGCGTCCTCCCAAGAGCTGGGATTAAAGGCGTGCACCACCACCACCCAGCTTCTGATAAGGCTTACTATTAGCTCTGACCCCCAGGCAACTTTATTTATTAACACACAAATAAAATCACATTTCAGTACAAATAAAATATCACCATAGGCAGTTGTTCTGATCACCATCAGTCCTCCATTTTCAAAAATAGAGTTCATGTCTGCTCATATAACTTAGGCCTGGACAGTGAGATGTGGGGAGGACAAGGCAGTCAGCCAGGCCAGGTAGGTGCTTCACCTATGCTCCAGGGTGTTTCTGGCCAGTCCTCTCCTCCTAAGGTGAATGTCAGGAGATCACAGAAATGCCTTCAGGGGGCTTTTTTTTTTTCAGAATTTCAGAGCACTGGATTTTAGTTTCCACTTTCTAGTATAAATAAGGGATTTATAATTTCATGGAAGATAGAATTTTCTCATACAAGGGAGAATAGGAAGTCATCCAAAAAGCCATATCCCAGTTGCCACCACTCTGATAATAAATCACGTTGGCAAGAGGTCATGTGGCTTTCTTGAACATGGAGGGCTTGGTTCACCATCCTTAAACTTTCCTTGGTTGCTGTATTTCCATTGTCGTTGATAGAGAGCTTTCTCCCTAAGAAACCCCCAAATTATTGCATGAGTGGCTTTGGTATTTCTCAGAATAGAGGCATATTTGATAAATTATCTTAGCAGATTCAACAAGAATAAACATCTGGGAATTTTAAAAAGAGACTTAATTCTCAGAATGTGTTTCCTGGTAACTTAGGGAAGTTGGTTTGTGGCAGGGCCCAGCCCTCTTTCTGCTTTGATCCTTCCCATCGTCTGTTGATACTTTCCAGTAACTGCTACCTCAGAAAAGAGAAGTTTGTGAAGTCAGTTTACAAGGAAACTCACAAACTATTGGATGACACAAAACTTTCCAAAGAAATTCGGGTCAACTTTCTAAGACAGAATTCCTAAATGGCTCATCGTACTGAAGGTCAAGAAAGGATTCGTGTTTTTGTAGAAGCCCTGAGCAGTGTGATAGGTCATCATGGATCAAAGTATTTTCAAAAGGGACGAAGCTCATAGTAATTCCCTCAGGTAAGAAAGCTGCTGTATTGTTATCTTAGTAGTGAATAACCGATGAGATTTTTTTCTTATTTTTAGAAAAATTAAAACCAGTTATAATCAACCATATCTGACAACAACTTCACAGTTATGAGTTATTGGATATAGAGTCAAAGCTACTTTGTAAGCAATTTCTTCCTTCCTTGTCAGTCAGCAAACTGAAATCCTGCGTTTAAAATACATACACAGGTAGAAATTAGAATTCTGTGAAGACTTAGTGTCTATGCCATCTACCAGCATTGCTGTTATATAAGGTTACTTCTCGGTGGAAGGTCTTTTAAGTAGGACTCCTCAACATGGAACTTTATTAATTTCTCCTCTATATACTTGAGGAATTATAATAGTTCCTTTCTTCAGAAAACTAAAAGATCTCTGTTCTTGCTTATGAATAGATCCTAAGTACCACTGAAGCATTAGTTCTTACAGAAAATTCTAAGAATATCAATGCACCCCTCTCATTTACCTGACGACACCTTAGGGTAGTATGAGAGAACAGACAGAATTTATGGCACTAAGACACTTGGGTACTGCCTGAAGAAGACCCAATTTAATGGAATGTGTATGTCCCACAGGCATTTGAGTCCCAGCTCCATGGAAAGTCTCTTTATGGCTCTGCTTCTGCATTGGTTCATGCTCTCAGCAGCTGAATAGCTTTTGTTCAGAATGTTAGAGATAAAAAGACCAGACATGGGACAAACTCTACATTAAAGAGCTTCCTGTCCTGAGGGTTAGATGTTGTGATTAGGCCTCACAAGACCTCTGGGTTCCAGAAAGTCAGGAGGCCCTGGGTTTCCGGAATCCTTTCCACTCTTAATTTGTGTAGTAGTTATTGCTTTTAAAATACGAAACCATATACAATCTAAAACACTTGTGGGTCTAAGCATTTTGGATGAGTGATATTTGAAAATAGAGCTAAGAAAAATTAGAGGATGTGACCACAAATCATCCTATTAAAGAGAAGAATAACATTACAAAAAGATTGAAAGCTAGACATTATGTTAAAGAGTGTGTGCCTTCAGTCATTATTCTACATCATTACACAGACGTTTATCTCCTTTCACAGGAAACAATGGGGCTGAGGCTCTTGATTTCTCCCCAGTTACAGAATACACAATGGTGGCAGATATCGATATCGTGTATTCCAATGTCACAAGCATTGTCATCTTTTAAGTTTAGAATATTCCCTGCTCTGTGGCTTGACATTTTACATGGACATTTTCATTGACACTTGATTAACATTCACCATTTGTATGATTACATGAAGCATCACATGAATGAAATGCTTCTGTCATGGAGCCAAACTTACCCCTTTCTCTCCACAAAAGATAATGGGGATAATTCTGTATACGTTATTATCAAATGATTAAGCTATGGTTCTTGGGTTATTTCTATAATGTGACCAGACAGCTTAACATTACTCGCTTTTATTTCTGTATCGGCATTAAATTTGCTGGAAATGTTGAAGATGTTGAAAGAGGTAAGTTGTATTAAATGCACTCCTTAGTTGCATAATTCACAGCTGCCTGGACTTTTATGATGAGACAACCAAGGGAAAAATATAGGTTAGTATGTTCTGATGTATAGTGCAGAATTTAAATTCAGTGCTCTGGAAACTGTCAAAGAATCCTCAAGTCAAAATGAGATTTTCCAAGCAAGGACTAGCTTGTGAGGTCATCATTAATAATTCACACCTTGAGGTTGGGAACAGCAGCTCAGTGGTAGAATTCTTGCCTAGCATGCCTGAGGCCTGGCCCCAGAGAAAAAATATGAATTTACTCTGTGAAATAACTCAAGTCTTTTTATCAGTTGGAATTGGATCCTAGCAAAAAAAAAAAATCATGTCATAATACATCTAGATGCCAATCACTCCATTCATTTGAATCACCAAATGACTAAAAGTATTATTTAATATCTATTTGCTAAATGTTCAAATTCATGAATACTATTATTGGTTCATCAAAAGTAAAGAAATATCTAAAAAGTGTAATTACGTTAGGCTAAGAGCTGATTTATACATGAAAACTATTTAAGGGAACAGATTTCTTCTTACAGCTATTAAAATTCCCATTGATCATAGGAGAATTGTTACAATATATAAGTAAGAAAAAACACCTGCTACTGCCATTCATGGCCATTATTCTGTGAAACTTACATTCAGTTGTTTATCCAGTATATTTTAATTATATTTACAAAATCAGGGTAGAGTAGATTCATGATACTGGATCTGACTGTTTTTACTTGGTACTATGTTATAAAGAGTCTTCACAACTGTTGTTGTTAAAATTATTCATATTTTCATTCATAGTTGGCCTGTACTATGAAGAAAATGACCTCCCTCTTTAGTGGGTATTATAAGAATTATTTGAAATTAAATATGGAAATTATCTAACTTGTTACCTGGGACTAGTAGATAATTAAATATTAACTTCTCTACAATTCAGGTTGCCATCTCTTATAGGTTCATATGAACTCAGTAATGAAAATGTATGAGCCAAGCCTAACACAAGTCTCACATTATAAAGTTCAGGATCTACACCATACTTATTCCTTCTACAATGAATTTTTCCTGATTCCAAAAGTGATTGCAATTTAACATGCATCTTGCAGAAGGTGACCTTTATTTCCCAGCTAACTATAGAAAAAAAAACTTTTCCACTCTAATTTGAATAAACTTAAAGAGACAACAAATACTCCAGTCAAACTAGCATTTACAATATCAGATTTCTTAATTTAAATTTAAACAAAGTTAAAATTTCTGTCAATACCAGCATCAGCTAAGAAATGATGCTGTGCCCTTATGTTTTATGAGAGTGTTTCCAGACTTGAACTGACTTACATCTACCACATAGCAACCTTCTCAGTCCTGAGTGGCCAGGAGGAATCACCCACCATTTTGTGGTATCATGAATATTTTATGCCCTAAAGCAATGATCTACTCACACAACAAAAGAAGAGCAGTTTCGCAGTTAATCTTTTATCAACATATGTGTGAAATAAGCATTATCTACAAAGGCTATATACTCATGTAATAATTACTAAATATATGTTAACTGTGTTTGCATTGTTTCCTTTTTATAATTTTAGTTTTTTGAGTATTTCATGAGCACTACATTTATATCATGTCCATTCCTACCTTTCCTCCCACTAACACCTATAATGTCCCCTCCCAACTCCCTCTCAAGTTTATGGCCTCCTATTCTTTAACTCATACTGTTACATACACACACACACACACACACACACACACACACACACACACACAATGAATTTATAAATAAACATGTTGAGTCCCTTTGGTTTTGCTAGTACATGATTAGGACTGACAACTTGGAATTGGATAACCTATCAGAGACCCTGATTCTCCCTAACTCAGCAGCCATTAATTGCCTGTAGTTTTTCAAGGAAGAGGGACCTTGTGAGATTTCTCCCATTGGAATTGGCATGTCAACTGATGTTATTCTTTTTCTCAGTTTTTGTTCAAGCAACCATATTCTTGAGACTCCGTGGGTGTAGCTTCCCATATACAGAAGACATTCCCAGCAGATGTCCTGGTCCTCTGGCTCTTACAATCTTTCCACTCCTCCTTCTATGATGTACAGAGTTATGCATGAATTGGGGCTGGGTACCCACTAGGCAATTGTCCTCTGCATTTTGACCAGTTGTGACTTTCTGTAATGGTTTCCATCTGCTGCAAAGGGAAAATTCCTTACCACACAAAGCTGTGTGCATAAGGAAGGATAGGCATTTGGAATGCAGTTAGAAATTATACTGCTTTAGGGAAATGGCAGTAGTAGGCTCTCCTCTAGAGTGGACAGCATCACCAGCCAAGAGTAGTGAGCCAGGTTTACAGTATTAGGCCCAAATTCTCTCCATTTGAGAAAGCTTTAGATCCAATTAGATGGCTTTTGGTTACCCCCCAAGATATACTTGCCACTACAACACCTTTAAAGACATCTGGTCATTATGGTTCATAGGTCTTTCTTTGATTGCTTTTCTGCCTTGGCAGCTTGCATACCTCCTTCTGGTACTATGAGAGATAATCCTTAGGAAGGAGGCTTCCAGGTCAACTCCACTTTAATTCCTCCAAGTCCTATATCTAAAGTGTGGTTCCTTCAGCAATAGGGTCTTATTTGCAACCTTAGAGGCAACCAAGAGCAATGTCAATAACCTATATTGTTCTGAGGGTCTCTTGGGCTCCTCTGATCAAAACCCAAAATGAAGTTTCCCATGGCTGGCACTAGAATGGGACAGCCTATGGATGAAAAGAAAGCTGCCACCCTAAGTCAGTTTCTCCCTCCCCCTATGTGTGTGTGTGTGTGTGTGTGTGTGTGTGTGTGTGTGTGTGTGCACGCGTGTGTGCATGTGCATGTAAATCTTAAGTAAATATAATTCCCTATGGCTTTTCACACCTCTTTAGTGTTATCTATCCTTCCCTCTCCCTCTCTGGCTTGCTCTCTCTTCTCCCTCCCTACTTAAAGCCCCCTCAATATCAAGGACTCTTAGTTGCTTAGTTATCCCTCCAGCCCCTGACTGCTTTTGGGGTTATCTACATATTTTGGATGTTAATCCTCTGTCAGATGTATAGCTGGCAAAGCTTCTCTCCCACCTGTGGGTTTCTTCATCTATTAACTGATTATTTCATTCGCTGTACAGAAGCTTTTTAGTTCTATGAGTTCTGTTTATGAATTTCAACTATGAAGTTAGCATTAACTGAGTCCATATAAATCTGATATTCTCTAAACTGTGCTGTGGTTCAGAAGAACAGAAGAGCATCTTCTCACATGAAGGTTGCACGAAGCCTACATGCACAGTTAGCCCTGTATCATGAGCGACAACTTGGTAAAGAAATCCTCAGTCTACGCTCTCATCTTAGATCTGCTTACATGCAGCCAGATGCATCCTAGTCAGGATGAGAAAGCCAGGACTGAGAATCAAATCTCCCATCCTCCTCAAACAATCATCTCACAAGGTAGAAAGAGAAATAGCTACACCACACAAACTGTGGATTGACTGTTCCCAATGCCTGTTTCTGAAATCTACTTAAGAAAAACTGGAACAATATCCACAAGGAGTCACCCAGTTAAGAAACAACAGAAGATCAGAATGGGAAACAAAAAAGGAGAAGCAGTTGTGGTTACCTAGCAAGAGACATTAAAATTTTATGCTCAAAGATAAAAGAATATGTAGTGAACACACATACTTTTTATTATTTGATAAAAAGAAACAAATCATATTTTGAAATCCACAATACATTTAAGAAGGGATTTCAGTGCACAAGACCTTCAGAAGGAAAGCAAAGCATAGAGCAGACACTGTCCTCCATCCACTGAGAGACTTGTTAAATGAACCCATGACCCTGCCGCCATGTCAGTGCTATGAACCTTGCAGACTGGGAACCCTCAGAAGACAGGTTATGATACGGTACTTAGCACTTAAGGATCTACGTTGGCTGTGCAGCCTGGCTATCTGCTGTGCCTCTAGTCAATCCTCATTAAGACTAAGCCAGCAGTTTCAGGCCATGCTTTGGAACTAGCTGGCTGAAATCAGTTTGCAGCTGTTCTTTCTTGGAACAGATTGGATTTGCATGTGCCATGCTGCTAACTTGGAGCAGAATGATTCTTCTGTACAGCAAAAGTGAAGTGTTGCCATGCATTGACACACCTTAGGCTGTAGCCAGGCAGGGCTCTCTTGGTTGCCTTAACATGAAGCTAAGACAGATGATCCACTGAAGCTGGTATGGGAAAGGCACTTTTCCTGAGATTACAACCTTGGGAGTTCCATCAGTCAAGCAGAGCAGAATGCAAAGAGAAGACAGAGGACTTTGTTTTGCTTAGATTCTGAGATCCCCAAATGCATGCTATTGTGCTTTGGAGGAAATGACCACTAAAACAGGCAACTCACCTTGTGACAGCTCATATGTGAGATAATGTAAAGAGGGCACATTTGAGAATCAGCTAAGTAGAGGGTGGGTTATTTGAATTGCAAATACATGGGAGAGTGACTTAGCCAAACAGTCTAGAAGACCAGCCATTAGGGAAGTGTTGATCCCAGTCCTCAGAGACATCACATTCCCAGTACTTTTTCATCCATCTTGAAAATGTGATCTAATCTGAGAAAACACAGGAGATGCAGCAAAGAATCCATGCTGGCCTGTGGAACAACTAAAGACAGATTTCAATTAGGCTTCTCCAGTCAACAGCTGACTTCTGGAAGTCATGCAGAAACCTCTATGAATCGTTCATCTATAAAGTCAGGACAATAGTAAATATCTGCAACCTACGGTGGGTGGAAGTCTACAGTGGGTGCTAACTCAGTTATAATTTGTCTTCCCAGTACAGTGCACCAGATTGTGTCAACTTCATGTAACAGTTGAGTCTCCCCAATAACTCTCTTTTTATATTTTATATTTTATGTTTTCCTACAGACAAACACCTTGGTTCAGATGTTTCCCCCAAGCCTACCATTTTTCTTCCTTCTGTTGCTGAAACAAATCTCCATAAGGCTGGTACATACCTTTGTCTCCTTGAGAAATTCTTCCCTGATGTTATAAGGGTATACTGGAAAGAAAAGGATGGTGATAAAATTCTGAAATCTCAAGAGGGAAATAGCATGAAGACTAATAACACATACATGAAGTTTAGCTGGCTGACTGTGACTGAGGATTCAATGGATAAAGAGCATAAATGTATTGTCAAACATGAAAACAATCAGGGAGGAGTTGATCAAGAGATTCTGTTTCCTCCCATAGATAAAGGTATGTATATGTTATAAAAGGGAATGGTCCTATTGTTATAATGTGTATTGATTAAAAAAATGAATCTTTCTGGGGTTGGGGATTTAGTCAGTGGTAGAGCACTTGCCTAGCAAGCACAATGCCCTGGGTTCGATCCTCTGCTCAAAAAAAAAAAAAAAAAAAAAAAAAAAAAAAAGAATCTTTCTTAAATCTTACTATATATATTGTAAACACAGAACCATGCTGTTCTGTCTCAGAGAAGGCTATAGGGAAAAAATAGCAAAATATTTGTTTTTAATTTTCTTGGTCTCAGTTATACTATGTAAAATATGAAGATTATATCTTATTTTTTAGAATTGCTGCATGAATTAATTGAATCAACATACCCGAAGGCATCTAGCCATTCAGTGCTTGAAATGCTGAACCACTGTTCCCACTTTGGCTAGCTGTACTTGATTCAGATACAAGAACAATACACACCTTTCAGAAATGTTCTATAATGTAAAATAAACAAAATTTCCTAGTTCAATTTCAATGCACTCTATTTTACCTACAGTAAGTTCTTAACTGACAAGATAGTACTCATATAAAACATTTATATTTTAAAAAAAAAGGCAGAACTATTTGGCTACTGAAGATTTATGGCAGCCTTGAGGTTTTCTGATTTTTGTTTTACATATCACTGTTGCATAGCATTCATAATTTAAGTGTGGATGAGATAAAATATGGAACACATTTCTGTTTTCCGTGGTGAGTTGATTTCCTGCCATTTGTAAATGCAGCCTCTTGGGTAGACATTTGCTATGTCACCTGCATGCCGGATCCGAGTGAAATGTGGATAGGATGAGGTAGGGACCCAATGGCTGCAGTGAAGAGCCTGAATTCTGTTCCTCGTCGTTTGGAATCATGCATTATTCAGGAGCCATGCCCAGGACACTCACAGTTGAGCCGAAGGCTGAGTGGGAAAAGACAGGCAGTGGGCCAGCAGCTAGCTTTCCATGCGGGTACAATCTTACCCTGAGTCATGAAAGCATTCCTAAGGACCCAGAGGGTCAGAGAAAAAGAGCCTTTTGTTTTCCTCCATGTGGCTGACAAACGCTTTCGATCTAGTAAAGAAATACACAAATGACAAAACATGGGGACACCTTTGTCATTCACCCATCAGATATCCTCAGTAATCCTTGTCCTCCAGAATACTTTGTTTCAGAGTGGCCAGTGATGTCTGTGAAGTTGCCTGCCTTTACCTAGGGTTTCCATGGAGAGAAAATGAATTAACAGCAATGAAGGAAGTTGCTGTTTGCCACCCCGTAGCAAATCATCACAAGAGAGTCCCATATTCAATTTTCATTTTAAAGAGATAGAGGCAAGACAAATATACAAGGCTGGAAGTTCACATGGTCATTTTGTTAGTTTAATTATGTTATGACATTTCTAGTGGTCAAGGGAAAATAAAGAAGAGTAAAACCATTGGTGATGAATATATGCAGAGGAGAGGTTCCCCTTATTATAACTTACTTATGATGAACTTAGAAAAAGTGTGTGCCACGTGTGTCTCATGGTAGGAAAGCAATCAAGGCATTTCCGGTAACAGCATTCAACAACTTCTAATGTTGCTTCTGGGAAGATGTTTTGTTCTTGTGTGGTTTGTCTTGATAAAAGAACTTGATGACATGATTATAAAAGGACGGGAAGCTAAGACTGCAATTACCTTTGTCTGGGGGAGTTTAGAATGATTGTATTATTATACTATTATAATATATATTATACTATTCTTTTATACCTCAACCAATTCATGCTGATAGTGATGTTTGTTTATCTCTTAGATAATAAAGTCACTGAAAGGACCAAAAAAAAAAAAAAAAACTTAGAGCCATTAAGGCAGACCTTAAAGACAGAAAGTAAATATGGCTGTATTTACATTTTATCAAACACACACTGAAATCCATTTTAGTGCACACAGAACTTGTTCTTCAATAAAATCGCATAGTGGAAGGAAATCCATATGTACGAGAACACATTTCACAGAAGAATAAGCTCAAAGAATAGGTGTATGCTTCTCCAACATCATTTAAAATAGTTAAGCATATTATTTTTGCTTTAAAAATCTCACATGTGTCTCTGTCTTATTTCAAGCTTCACACAAAAAACTAGAAATATATCTATCTATCCTCAGAAATAACTGCACTGGGACCTTCAGATATTATAGTAAGAAGAATTGAGAGTTTAGCAGGGTTTTTTTTTTTTTTTTTTTAAAGATAGTGTCCTACTCTGTAGCCTTGGCTGGCCTGGAACTCACTGGTAGACCAGGCTTCATTTTTTTTCCTTAGTGTGACATGTCAAGTCAAGCATATGCAGGCCAATATGTCAACCAATATTCTATTTATTTTCCATTGAGTTATGTATTTGCACATTCTCTCTTTTGAAGCAGAAGCTTTTCTAGGACCCATGAGTACATAAGAAAAGTGGGTCTGACAGGGAAATGTTGGGCATTACATTAAGATTGTGATAATGATGTAATCTTTGTGAACTTCAACAGGGCCACATGTAGAAACATATACGAATGTCACCTACAGAGTTACATACAGTGCAACTTAATGCTTCTGGGATTGCAAGGCTCATATTTTAACGGCTGTCTTTCTGTTAAATTAGATTTACATGCAAACATGAACAAATAGGTCTATAAATACATTCACAAATACACACACACACACACACACACACACACACACACGTACTGTAGAGTAATAACCATAGACAGTTGACTGATGTCTGCTTTCCTTTCCTTTAGTTGCCAACATCATTTCTCCCACAGAAGCTTATTTGAAAACTGAAAATGGTAAGTTTGAGATTTTATTTTTCTCCTCCTAATATCTTAACATTTGAATCCACTTTGCCTTACATATAAAAAAAAGGACTGAATTTTGCAGAACATACTGAGTGACATTTAAAGCAATCAGTCATTTCCTTGGCATCATATTAACATAGCAAATTAACAAATGAGAGAGTTTAGTGAGCTGCACTGAATGACTGCAAAGAAGAACCTAATCCATCTGTCCATCCATCCATCCATCCATCCATCCATTCATCCATCCATCATCTACCCAACAACCCACCACCCATCCATCCACCCACCACCCATCCACCCACCACCCATCCATCCACCCACCACTCATCCATCCACCCACCACCCATCCATCCACCCACCCATCCATCCATTATTTAATGACTGGGAAAAGTATGATACCAAGTTACTCTAGTATTGCTTATAAACATTGATAAATAAAACCCACACCCCAAGTTTGATTCAGAAAACCAGATACTTAAAAAAAATTACACAGGTTCTCTTGTCTTTCCCCAAATTGTGGCTACAGTAAAACACATAGAAATATAGAGAAAACATATTCTCTACAGAATAAGAGCTTACATACTTCAATTGGGAGGATAATAAATCCAGGACTTGAGGGCAAAAGATTACTTGCCTAGAAAAGGATGAAGTGTCTCATATCAAAAGAAGTTGTAGCTATATAGTCCATGCCCTGCATGTACACACAATTCAGAACCCCCTGGTTTGGGTTAGTGTAAACAAAGTGGGTTTCATGACACCATTTTCATGCATGTGTACCTTCACGTTGCTCCTGTTTGCCCCTGGTTACCATCACAAGCCCTTCCTCTCCACTCTTGCTGGCACCCACACTTCCTCTTTCGTATTTCTGTATTCATGACCTCCGAAATTCAGAGAAATCATGCAACATCTGTCCTTGTAAGTCTGTTTTACTGTTTTACATAGCTGGGTTATATGGTAGTTTTATATTATTTTATTTTTGAGGAGTCACCACAGTTCCCACCAATAACTCATAAAAAATTATTTCTCTTATCTTAGGCAGTAATTATTATTTTCTTACATCCTCACTAGCAGTAGTCATTTTTTTTCTTCCTTCCTTCCTCCCCCCCCCCTTTTTTTTTTGGTTTTTGAGACAGGGTTTCTCTGTGTAGCCCTAGCTGTTCTGGAACTCACTCTGTATATCCGGCTGGCCCCGAACTCACAGAGATCCACCTTTCTCTGCCTCCTGAGTGCTGGATTAAAGGCGTGTGCCATCATTGCCCGGACTGTCCTTTGTTTTCTTAAGACTGCCATTCTGATTAGGGTGAGAAGGAATCTCAATGCAGTTTTAATTTGCATTTTCCGGATGACTGAGGATCCTGAACATTTTTTATGTCTATTGGCCACTGGCATTTCATCTTTTGAGAATTGTCTGTTCAATATATTTGCCCATCTGTTGATTAATTGGATTTATTTGGGGGGGGTGCTTAAGTTTTTGAGTATTTTATATAGTCTGGATTTAATCTCCTGTCAGATATATAGTTTAAAATGTTTCTCCCAGGATCTGTAGGCTTTCTCTTACTTTTCTGATCATTTCCTTGTACTGGGCTATAGGAGACCAACTAACTATATCTTGAACTATTTTCTCTATGTTCTCCAATAGCAGTTTCAGCATATAAATAATAGAGGAAGAATTCAGGTTGTGCCTATTTGCAGATGATATGATCCTATATTTTAAAGGCCTTAATGATAAATACTTTGAACAGTGTAGCAGGATACGAAAGCAACAAACAAAAGACTTTTCTATATATTGATAGTGAACTTCTCAATAAATGAATTAGAAGATAAACTATTCACAATGTAGTAAAAAGTAAGATACAAATCCAGAAGTAAACCTAATCAAGAGGGTGAAAACAAGATCTCTCCAATGAAGACTAAAACAGGAAAGAAATAGCAGTCAGAAGATTGACTAGCCTCATGACCATAGTTAGGTAAAATTGATATTGAGAAAATGAATATATTATCTGAAACAGTCCTATTGGTTCAAAGAGATCACCATCAAAATTATTTTTTTTAATTTTTTTATAAAGCCATTTTAAAACAAAACAAACCAAAATGTTTACAAAAGAAAAGAAAAAGATACAGAAAATAACTTGCTTCGTATGTCCCCAAAAAGAAAAAATAAAGGGGACAATGCCAACTTTTGTCTCAATTTTTTTTTTTTTTTTTTTTTTTTGGTTTTTCGAGACAGGGTTTCTCTGTGTAGCTTTGCGCCTTTCCTGGGACTCACTTGGTAGCCCAGGCTGGCCTCGAACTCACAGAGATCCACCTGGCTCTGCCTCCCGAGTGCTGGGATTAAAGGCGTGCGCCACCACCGCCCGGCTAGTCTCAATTTTTTAAAGTCTCTTTAATATATTAATCTGCACTAACCTCTGATTTTATCTACCTGTAATTGAGAAATAATACTATTTTAAAGATTACTTGTGTCTGATTGGGTTTCTTGTTTAGAGGCCCTTTTAAAACTAATTCATTAGCTTGAAAAGTATATTTTCTAATCACAGGCTGGTTAGATTGATTGGTGTCTCAAGTGAGCACACGGGCTCTGAATGAATGACCTTTGCTTTTACTTCATTGTTTGTAACACTGTCTTCCTTCAAATCATGCATGCAAATAGGAAGACATTTAATGTGACTCAACTGGAAGCAGGTGTTTAGCAGTTAGGTCTAATAACGACAGCAGATAGGTCACAGCTGTAGGCTCTTAATGACTGGCACTGGGCACCTCCATGGCTTATTTACTGTCCGCCTTTTTTCCCCGTGTGCCTATAGTGAGGTGGTAATGCATTCACTGTCTTGCTTTGCAGTGCTCAGGAAATGGGGTGTTCACTTGAGGGTGCTTGTCTGTTATCTAAAATTCTAATACCATTGCTCACAGAATTATAAAAACCTAGAAATTTATATGGAAGCAGCAAAGATCCCAAATAAGCACAATATCCTTAACAAAGAAATAGCAAATGCTCCAATATCTGCTTTCAAATTATACTATAGTTTCACAGCAACAAAACCAGCATGATTCACAGAACAGCTTAGATACACAAAAGGTACCAGGCCAGGTGGAGTAGACAGAGGACCCAGAAATGAAATTTTCTCTTGCCTCATTGTTCAATGCCTTCTCTGCCTCTGTTGAGATGGTTATGTGATGCCTGTCCCTGAATCTACTTAACACGTTGAACTACAATTACTGCTTTCTGTATGGTGAATCATCCCTGCATTCCCGACAGGGTAGCACTTTTAATGTGTTGTGGAATCTGGTTTGCAAGTATTTTGTTGCAAGTTATCGTCTATGCTCATCAGGAAAATTTACTCTATAGATTTCCTCACTTCGTTTTGAATGAGGGTATTAGTGGCTTTATGAGGAAGAGTTGTGTAATTTTCTTTCCCTCTCTGCTTTGTGGAACAGTGTGAGGAGCACAAGTGTTCATGTTTAAATATCTGGAAGAATTCAGCACTGATGTCATACAATGCTTTTCTTTGTTGGGAAACAATTATTTCTTCAATCTCATTCCCTGTTGTGGATTTATGTCCTCTTGATTTGATTTAGTAGGTTTGATGCATCTCACACTTTATGTATTTATTCTGTAAATTTTATGCATTTTATGCCTTTGGGCATACAGGTTTCAAAGCAATCTCCAGTGACCCTCTGGACTTTCTTAGTATCTGTTATAAGGTTGGCTTTTACATCTCATTTCATTGATGTGTTCTCTCTCTCTCTCTCTCTCTCTCTCTCTCTCTCTCTCTCTCGACTGGCTAAGAGTTTGTCAGTCTTATTTATCACTTCAAAAAACCAACTCTATTTCATTATTTCTTTGCTTTGTTCTTTTTAGTCTATTTAATTCATTTCCGTCCTGATTATTATTTTTTTTTAGCATTTCTGTCATTCACTGCTTCAAGTTTTCACTTGTTTCTGTTTTAAAAATATTAAGGTAAATTCTTGAACTATTTATCTGAGATCTCTGATTTTTTTCTTTCATCAACACTGGTAGCTATAAACTGTTCTCTCAGTTGTACAGTTGCAACATCCCAAAATTTCTAGTAAGTTTCTCTTTCATTTCACTTAAATCTAAAACTATTTTATATTTCTTTCCTAATTTCTGTAATGACCAACTAATCATTCAAGATCATTCTGCGGAATCTTCATACATGTGCATACTTTTTATAGTTTCTCTTGTTACTTTTACCTAGTTTTGTTCCACTGTGTTTTGATAAGATAAAAGGTATTATTTCTTTTATTATTTGTTAACACTAACTTTATTACCTAAAGTGTTATCTGAGACAAAGTTCCACGGGCTTCTAATAAGAATGTGTATTCTAAATGAGTTAAATATAATATTCTCTGCCAGGACAGCTCAAACAGACCCAGCTACACAACTGTCTCCCATATGCAGAGGGTCTATTCTGATCCCATGCAGGTTCCACAGCTGTCGGTCTAAAGTTCATGAGTTCCTATGAGATTGGTTCAGTTGTTGTGTAGGTTTCCCCATCATGATCTTGACCTCCCTTGCTCATATAATCCCTCCTCCCTCTCTTCCACTAGACTCCTAGAGTTCAGCCTCATGCTTGGTTGTGGATCTCTGTGTCTGCTTCCATCAGTTACTGGGTGAAGGCTCAATGATAATCTATCCCTGGGGCATGAGCTGGCTTTCTGGATCTATTACCTATGGTCAGACACCTTGCTCACCCTTGAGGCAGAGGGGGGGGGGGCTTGGTCCTGACTCAACTGAATGTACCAGGCTTTGCTGTCCCCCTATGGGAGAACTTACTCTTTTGGAGGAGGGGATGAGGGGTGGGAGGGTGGTTAACCGGGTGTGGGGGGAGCAGGAGAAGGGATGAGAGAGAGACCTGTGGTTAGTATGTAAAATGAATTTAAAAAATTTAAATTAATAAAAAAGAGAAAGAAAATTCTGAAAACCATGATTAGGAAGCCAGTAAGAAAAGGTCCTACATGGATTCAATTTCAAAAAAAAAAAAAAAAACATGACCACAAGAAGCAAGTAGGAGAATAAAGGATTTATTCCACTTTACATTTCACACTCCTTCACAAAGAAAAGTCAGGGCAAGAACTCAAGGCAGGAACCTGGAGGCAAAATCTGAGCAGATAACATGGAGGAATGTTGTTTACTGGCTTGCTCCTCATTCCTTGTTCAGCCAACTTTCTTAAACAGCCCAGGACTACCTGCCTAGAAGTTGGACTACTGCATTAGCCATTAATCAGAAAAATGCCCTACAGACTTGCCTATAGGCAACCTTACAGAGACATTTCCTCAGTTGTGGTTCCCTCTTTTCAAATGACTCAATCTTGTATCAAGTTGGCAAAAAACAAATTAACTAACTAACTAACCAGGACTCATATGATCTCATGTAATCTACTCATTCAATAATGATTAAAGAGAAAATGGGCTGGTAAGAAAATAATAAATATAATATTCTCTAGATGTCTGTTAAGTCCTTTTGAAGTACACTTAAATTTTGAGGGTTGTTGATTTTTCAGTGTCTGGGTGGTCTGTCTATTGTAAGTGACTCACTATTAATGTACTTAGTCTTATCCAATCTTCATTCCCATTACCGTCTGCTTTTCTCAACATTCAATGCATACGCATTTATAATTATTATAGCACCTTGATGTTCTAACCCCCTTAATCTCTCCCCATAAATTTCAGTGAAGTCTACTTATCACCTGCAACTATGGCTATGTCTACTTGTTCGGGGCTTCTTTTTTTTTCTTTCATTTTTCTTTATTAAGAAATTTTCTACTAACTCCACATACTATCCACAGATCCCCCCTCCTCCAGCCTCCCACCCCCAGCCCTCTTTCCCAAGCCACCCCACATTGCCACATCCCCCAAATCAAGATCTCCCATGGGGAGTCAGCAGAGCCCAGCACACTGAGCCTAGGCAGGTCCAAGCCCCTTCCCACTGCACCAAGGCTGTGCAAGGTGTCACACTACAGGCACCGGATTCCCAGAAGCCTGCCCATAGACCAGGGACAGATCCCAGTCCCCCTGCCTGGGTGCCCCCCATTGTTTGGGGCTTCTATCTATCTGTCTATCAAATGATTTGCATCATTTCGGTCTCACTCTGTGCATATCTTTACCAGTTATAGGTTTCTTGTAGACAACAAGTTTGGATCCTGGTTTTTGTTGTTTAATTCAACCAGCTGGTTGGCATATTTTCATCAGAGACTAAGACCGTTTACATTTCAGATTATTACTAAAAGGGCTTTGCTGATGATTCCTGTCATTTGTGCTGGTTGTTTTTCTGCTTGAAGTAATTGTTCCTTTTCTTCCTCTTCTGTTTTTATTAGGAACTTTCTGTGTTGCTGAGCTGTCTGTATCGGGCTCTCCTTTGTTCATATATTTCCCTCGTGAAATGTCTTCTTCACTGTTCTCTCTGGTTGATATTGTCTCTCTTTCTCTTTGGTGTGTAGGATTTCAAGCTTCTTCTACAATGCTGGCTTCGTGGCCACAAAATGCTTCACTTTGTGCACTGCTTAAAAGGCCTTTGTTTCTCCATTGGTTTTTCAGATATCATTTCCTTGATACAACTGCATATATCATCAGCAGTTTCTTAAGCTCTGAAATGTATCGCTGGGCTGTTTCCTTGCTTTGAGGGTCCCTGCTGAGAGCTCTGAAATCCTGATATGTGTGCCTCTGTGACTTGCTATTTTTCTTCTATAGCCCTTCATAAATTCCTTCTATTGTAGTTTTTATATCTTGGGGTTTAATGTGCCATGCAGGGGTTCTTGTCTTATCATGTGTTTTTAGGATTCTAAGTACCTCTTGGGCTTGGATGTCTCTATCTTTCCCTGGTTTGGTAATGTTCTGTAATTTCAGTGAGTACATTTTTGAGACCTATAATAATTTTTTCCATTTTAACTTAGATGTTTCTCTTACTCCATAGTTTCTCAGGTTTAATCTCTTAATCATTTATCAGAATTCATGAATTTGTGGTCATGCTTATTTTTCTTTATTGATATATAAATGTAATATTTTATCAAACAAGTACTCTATTCTAGATAGTTTTTTTGTTTTGAAAAATATAAACGTTCCACAAGTTTGATGATATTTACAAAGTATTTCCCATATATCCTATCTATTAAATGCACACTATCCTTTAAATATTGACCCTCTCATTCACTGTTATGAGTTACGTAAGCTCTTTAAAATTTATTTCTTAATGTGTAGTTAGGATACCTAGAATTCAGCTCACTTTAATGTTACAGGAGAGTTAAACATGATGATGCTTAGGATACATTTAGCCAGTTCCTGGTGTAGCAGTGATCACAGGACAGACAGCAGCTCTTATTAATACACACGTTTACAAGCATCTTACCTCCAGCAACCAAGACATGAGTGGGAAATTTGGGAAAATGAGTGATTAAGAAAGCTGCAACTACTTTCCTCTGCTTAGATAGAAATTGGTCTATGTCAGATTCCCTCAAGGGCATGATTCTGTTGTTGACTCTAAGGTTAGATACATTCACTGTGGGTGGAACATGACATAGAGCCTAATGTGCAGGAGTCTGAAAATCAGCCAATTTGGACTTTGGCCTATTGACCATATCTTTGGTGCAACTTTGTGGCAAATTTTATGCACAAGATATAGATACAGAAGAAAAGCAGGTGATCTGGAATATAGTATTACAGGTAAAAAAATACATAACATATACTTCACAAACTTTGAAATCTTTGTATTAAAAAATATATGACAACTGTTTTCTACAGAATCTCAGAGTAACATCAATTATTCTGGGAATTGCAAGGCTCATATTTTTTAATATGGCTTCTCCAGTGTCTGTGTCAACATTTCAAAAAGATTAATTTCAAAAAGACACACACATACTTTCAAATAACAAGCATGAATAACTAACTAACTAATACTTTAATTTATTTTAGCTTTCACAACTATTACTATCAATCCCAGAGGTGAAAATGGTAAGTGTTCATTTATATTTGCCTTTGCCTTATAAGAAACTGTTTTTCTCCTCTTTATTACTTCATCTTCTAAACATCTTTGGCTTGATGTTAAAAAACAAATGAACAAAAACAATTGCTAAATGTAGCAGATGAGACTGATTGGCATTTTAAATCAATCTTTCCTCCATGTCACTGCAGATAAAGACAATTTCCATCTCAAACTTTATTCACAAAATAGTTGTTTTCCCCTCCTATCTTTCCACTATTAGAAATAATCGAACTGGAATGTTCAGCCCTTGCATTAAAAACAAAACAAAAAGTCATTTGCTAAGAATAAAGAAGAATTAAGACGCTCAAAGTAAGAGTTGTGTGGCATGCCTGTAACCCTAGCACTTCAGAGATAGAGGCAGAAGGATCAAAAGTTCAAGACTAGCCTGGGCTAAATGAGTGCCTTTGTTAAAATGTGTTTGTGTGTGTGTGTGTGTGTGTGTGTGTGAGAGAGAGAGAGAGAGAGAGAGAGAGAGAGAGAGAGAGAGAGAGAGAGAGGAAGAGAGGGAGAGAGGGAGAGAGGATGTGTGCAAGTTCATTGTGTGTATGCACGTACATGTGAAGGCAAGAGGAAAACCTTGGGGTCATCCTCAGAAATGCTATACACTTTCTTTAGGATTGGTCTTGCACTGGCCTGGAGCTCACCAATTAAGCTAGACTTCCTGGCCTGTTAGCTTAGGGGAGCCCTTCTTTCTCTGCCTATACAGCGTAGTGATTACCAGAACGTAGCCAAGCCTAGCATTTTCATGTGTTACGAGGATCAAACTCAGATTCTTACATTTCCAAGACAAGCACTTTTACCAGTGGATTTATTTCCCAAACAAAGGGCCTGTCTTAGAGAAATCATGTAAGATTTTTGACTATACCTTTTAAGCCTAATTCTTTTCTCACACATGTCATTTTTATATATTTTTTGTCATTTTTATATATTCAGAATTTAACTCATTTAGGTCCTACTGTGGAATTAAACACAACGAATGTGAATCATTTAATATATTGCCTGGTATAGCAATCATCAGACTACAAGTATGAGCTTTCATTATCAATTCTGTATGAGATCTCTCTCTCCCTCTCACTCTCCCTCGCCCCCCCCTCTCTCTCACACACACAGCATGTCAAATAATGACTATGGTAACTCAATAAAACTTGTTCTCATTTCTTCTAGTTAATAATACTACTGATCTGGAAGCTTGCTTGGAAGAAAGAAGGGGTATGTCTTAGCATCTGTTTACCTTTATCTTACTATAGAGAACATGATCTCAATCATCTTAACTTTGAACTTCCCTGATTTAAAGAAAAGCCATAATGACTAGAATTGCAGGATAAACTGAGTGATCACGTAATTTGACCCATTACTTCCTAGTCATTTCAACAACTGGTCTTCAGACAGTATGACTTTGATTTGGGCCCACAGAACTTTTTAGTAGTTTTTGTTGTTGTTGTTGTTGTTATTCTAAGGTACTAATCACATTTCCTGGCACCCACAGATTCCATTTTAGACAAAAGGCCCTTGATCTGGATTCTGTGTGTGTATCTTTTCAGATGTGGTCAGTGACCTAATATTAAGTCCTCTGTATATATCACACATCGAGATCTGGGGGTTCCAACTCAGGTCATCAAATGGCAATTTGATGATTTACCCAGCTTTGTATTTTCCCTCAAAGTCACAGTGTAAGGAGATGGCTATGATGCAATGTCATAGGAATTGGGAAGAACACAGACTTCAGGCTGCCACACATCAGTCTAGTGGTCCAGTCATTTTAATGATCAGAGTACACATATATGCATGGGTGACTTTCACTCTGTAAGCAAAATTTTCTTCACTTGACAATGGAGAATTATTACCCAAAATTCAGTTATCGCAATGAGTGCGTCAAATGTCCAACATAGTTATCATATTTAGTAAGCATAGTGAGTACTAGTTTCTGGTCCAGGGCTGACTGTTCTTCTATATCCTCAATGTTATCATCTCAGAATCTGAAGGACCACATGAGGAATGGACCTGAACAAGGACAGAGTTTAACATTTTCATTACTTCAAATCTATTATACAGAAAAAACCATGGCCTTGACTAAGTGGTTACTGTGGTTTTCTAATCCCACTGTTGTTTTAATTGATGACAGCACACATCTCTTATAAAAGTGCAAAATATTTTGGTTCCAAATACCCATTATAAAGTAATGAGAGACTTGAGAGAGACAAGGGAGAGTCTTGGGCATCGGGATTGACAAGTTCCTTCCGGATTTTCTGCAGTGCGCTCTTCTGAAATCCCCCATGCACCCTGCTGTGCTACCATTAGATTTCCAAGGACAGTGCCTCCTGACAGAGCTCTGTAGACTCCATCTACAATGCCTCAGATGCTCTGCTCTGCATTTGTCCTTATATTTTTATGTCTGGGATTATAGTTATACTTGGAGATGTAAAAAGAAAGTAAGTAATGATTTTTTAAAATCACTTCTGTGGACCAAGACTTAGGCTGTGGCCACTTAGTACTATTAGGCAAACTATCTTTCTGTGCACATGGAAATGAAAATAATTCCTCCACCAAAAGCTATTAATTTATTACGAAAGAATGTTTCATGGGCAAAGATGTCAGATGTTATTATTGCTTATAATTTACTTTGTACATGATGGATATTATTCACGATTACTTAGAAATATTGGAAGTAAAGAATTCTCAACTTATGCCCCACTTAACCTTCAAATGGATCCATCTACCCCAAGGGCAACTTCTCTTTTCAGCAGTAGTGAGATTATAAATGAACTTGTCAGGGTTGTTATTAATCTGACTTCCACGATGAGTCCTCTTCCTGGTTCTGGTAAGAATGGTAGGTGTTGCGTTGTCACTCAATGGAAAAAAAAAGTTGCCTATCTGGGCTACTGTGTCAAAAGGGCAGATGAACCTAACTACGGGATTCTCTTAGATGTGCTGCAGATTCAGGTGACGAACACCTCTGCATTCTACACCTACCTCATCCTGTTCTTCAAGAGTGTGGTCCACTTGGCCTTCGTTATGTTCTGTGTGTTTAGAAGAGCAGCTCTGCGTTGTGACGGTCAAAGTTCGTAATGGATGATGAAACAGGAGGGTCACGTGGCCGTCATCCTTTTCTGCCCCTCAATATCTTCTGAGGGTTTAGCTGGATGTGCTTGCTGCTTGGACCTCCTCAAGGTCACACATGTGGGATTTCGTATCATTACTATACAAATGTTTTCCAAACAGGGAGGGAACTGATCAACTTCACCCTACAACAAATAGTAGCCCATGGAAGCACCCAGCCGTCCACACCCATCCTCTCTCAGTGCCCCCCCAAAACAGCCCAGAGCATCACAGGCCCAATGTACACAAACTGCAGCTTCTAATCACCCCACTTCATGCCCTTGAACCAGATAATGCCCTAAAAGCCTCTACTTCACATGCCCCAAAGAATCTTATTTGAACTTGAACTCTGTGCTTTGTTTTGCAAAATACAATAAAAATCAAGTCTACTCTTGATGTGTTGTGTGCTTTCATTGGTGGCAGTGATTCAAGGTTCAAGGTGCAAAGCAACATGAAAACCAAGCTATGACACACAATGCTTATTGGTAACAAGGTCCAAAACTATATTCTAAATCTGTCCTTTAGATGGTGGCTGGGACAATTTTCTGGAGCCAAATGCAGAAGCCCAGTGACTGTTCTCTCAGGGGAAACTAGGCCTGAGTCATTTGGTTAAAGTCATTCCCATGGAAACAGGAAAAGGTCTAGTAGGATGTGAGCTGTGTGATCAACTCTGTGCCTGTTTCACAGTATTTATCATACTTCCCAATCTTCACTGTTCCCAGGAGAGCTGCCAAGCTCCAGAGAGGAAAGGTGATGGAGGAGATGAACACATGGACTGTAGACCTCAGGAATGGGATCCAGAATTTAGTATCTGGGTGAGATCAAATACTGAACTCTCCACACCATAGTTTCCTCCTGTAAAAGAAAGTCAGAATGGTGTGTCCCCTGGAGCTGTGCACGTTAGATGGGTTAATAAAGCTGTGGGCTGGCAAGTCCCCAGGGTCTTGAGACATGTTCCTCACTCTACCTTAGAAATACTGGGTATCACACCCACACACCACACAAAAACACCAAAAGTGAGGACAGATGAGAGATTTAGCTTCTATCGTACACCAGGCAAATTATGATTCTCTAAGAGTCCTTTGATCTGAGTACAATTCTAGCCTACAAATTAGAAAATTTGAATTTACTGATTTTCAAGTAACAGTCATAATTTAAAATGAGGTGTCTCTGAATTCAGTGTATGTTTTATAGACACAATTTATCCAGTATCATGTACCTTCCTCGAAGTCACTATCAACTGAAGAAAATAAAGTAAACGACTTTTGATATTCACATGTCTGTTTTCCTTACACACACATAGCAATGGTGACGCACGCTTGTAATGTCACCCGTGAGGAGGCCGAGACACACATATTCTTGGTGCTCACTGGCTGGTCAGTCTGGCCTACTTGGGGAGTTCCAGGCCACTGAGAGTTCCAGTCTTAATAAACAAGATGGACAGTGCCTGAGAGTCAACACTTGGGGTTGTCTCTACATGGACTTGCACACACCTGCACATATGTGCAATCTGGTGATATTGAAAAGGTATGCCCAATCACTCTTCACAGAGAGTCCGCTTCTCTCTGCAGCCCAGGTGTATGTGAACACCCTTAAGAGGCCTGTCATACTTTAGAGCAATGCTAACCTTCCAAGTATAAAACAAGATCTCACTATGGCATCAATTTATTTTTTCTGAAGATAAGCATCTCTGGTTTTGGTCTGCTTATATGTCCTGTTTATAGATCTGTTTACATGTGTCTCTTCATATCCTTTCCCCATTTTCTACTGTGAAGTAATACCTGCAGGCATGGCACCCGTTAGCCATGCCTGGCACTTCTGTAAGCAGAGATATTAAATGAAATGTTCTACACGTGGTAGCTGGATGAAAATGCAGTGTGTGTTCCACACCTTTTCCAATAGGCAAAGTTAGAACTTCTACATTTGAATTCAAATGAGATCTAACTTTAATATTGGAAAGGCTGTTTACAATCAGCCCAGGGCTACAAAGCTGGAAAGCAAACAGAGCTGCACATTTGGAACAATACATGAATGAGATTCAGAGATCAGATAACTCCTTGACGGTCCTGAGTTGATCAAATCTTTTCAGGCCAAGCTTCTGGCCCTGCTTTACAGACATGGAACTATTTCTGCAGGGGAAGAGCAGATGTAGAGGCCGGAAACTGACAATCGGCAACAGCTTGGTGAGGCTATGACTAGCCAGGACACAGGCGGTGTGTCCTGTGGTCTCAAACCTCTAAGCGCCCTCCTTCCTGAGTCCACATGGGCTCTCCAGTCCCAGCAGTGCAGGGAGCGTGCCAGTTGCAGGGGAGGAGGGGACACTGGAGGTTGATGCTGTGCAGGCTGGTGCTGCTGTGGCTAATGGCTTCGTTTTCTCAGGCATCTATGTTTACCTGCTTGGTCAATGTGGTTGCTTCCTGGAAAATGCTCAAAGTCAAACCCACCCTTACTGACTGGGGCAACACAAAGGGTAGCTAGGGTGTTAGAAGAGAAAATAATGGCAGTTAAACCACAGCCAGCTCTGCTCGGTTTCAAAAGGCCATGGCTAGCGGGGTGGGGGTGGGAGGATCTAGTTTCATTGTGTGGGAGGTGGCTGTCTAGCTCAAGAGCTACAGCAAAAGAGGCAGGACTCCCTGGGGTGCACACTCAGTGCTCCCTGCTTCAGCTGGAATCTGATGCCCAGGACTATACGATAGGTCTCTGATCATTCCCTTGGATGCTCTAAGAAACACAGAAGGTTCTCTGTAGCACCAACATCACCTTAGCTTCTTTCAGGGGTGGGGATTGGGGGGGAGGGGGTGTGTCTGAGGCCCTTCATTTACAACTGCTGACACTTTACTCTTTTTCAATCAGAATGTAGAGGGTGCAAGATGTGCATTCTGATTCCAGTGGACAAAGTTGTGGGCCACAGTAATGTGCTTTATGAACAAAGAAATGGACATCAACTCAACGCTACTGAAACAGTCATCTTTCCAAGGTGTGTGTGTGTGTGTGTGTGAGAGAGAGAGAGAGAGAGAGAGAGAGAGAGAGAGACGACAGCCATGTTACACAGATGGCACCCCCCTTCTTTCAAAGGTGTGTGTGTGTGTGTGTGTGTGTGTGTGTGTGTGTGTGTGTGTGTATGT